ACACCTGCATTAGACCAAGTGCACACTGAGGCTGCTGAATGTACTGAAATTGAGAAATTAGTTCTCAAAGTATACAAAAGAAGAAAGGACACCAAAGAAATGAAGGAGAGAAAGTCTTGGACTTTATTATTACCAAAAAAAACTGACCTAGAAGATATCAGTACCATCTCACTTATATGCCTGTTTTCCCATCTAAACAAAATGTAAGCATTTGATTTTGTGTAGAGCAATAAGCTATTTTAGGCTGTCTTCCAGCAAATTATAATCCCATGCATATGTCAGAATCTTGAAACGGCAGAACAGCAATAACTTGGTTTCACTCTTTGATTATTTATATCAAGCAAACATAAAACAAGGAAATGTATACTTCCCAAAGGTATTTGCCCCTGCTGTGGAGTAGATCCAACGTAGACCCAAGGTGAAGAATTCCTTAGAGATGGTAAGACTTTCCAAGTACTCCTATTTGTTGGATGGTACTTTGCAATTAGCTTCAAATCCATGATTTGCAGAGATCTGTTATCATTTGTAAGAGTTTGACATACATATCTGCCCAGAAAAAAAATAAGTAGATGAAGAGTGCCTATTGTCCAGACTATGGTATACTGTTGAATGAATAAATGAACAAAAGAAGCACATAAGTGCTTATTTTACACAAAACACTGTGCTAAGCACTGGAGATACAATTAGAAAAATAAGATAGTCCCTGTTGTCAAGGAACACACATTCTAATGAGGGTTACAACACATATGACAGTCTGCAGTCTAGAGGTCACCTGTTAGTTCATGTCTTTTGGACAGGCATTGCAATTAGACACTAGTCCTAAAGTTAAACTGAAAAAGAAAGACAGGCTACATTTCCTTCTTGGAAACTGCACAATACTTTTAATGATCCCAACCTCACTAAAACAAAAACCTGTCTTTTTAACACCAGTATTCTTCCAGTGACGTGTATGACTACATGTCTTGGAGTATTGCGTTCTCAGAAGAATTAAAGTTGAGGATCACCCAAAGGGCATTGGAGAGAGACATGCTTTGTCTGAGCAGACTGCAGCATTGCAAAGTAAGAATTACACAGATATGGTATAAAGAATAGTACAAGAGAAATGTGGGCCTATCTCATAGCAAAAGGGAGGAAGAACCTATGGCCAGCTTACATGTTCCATTGATGTCTACACAGTGTTAAGAAATAATAGAAGTATCTACCCCCAACAGATTGTTTTGACCCTTGTGGTGAACTGGTGAATAGTAGAGGGATAGACAAACGTGGATGGGTTGCAGTCAGCGCAAAGAATAGCTACTATTTTGAGCTTACAGATATATTAGAGTGATTGGACAGTTATCTGAGAAACCTTAACTCTAATATAATAGGTGCCACTGTATAACACTTGGTGTGTTTTACCGTGTACCCTGAAAATTGCTTTCTTCATATTTTTGAATACTGTGAAACTGTGGGAAAAGCCAATTTTCTTCTGTTAGGACAGGCTCCATGCAGACCAGGCACTGACTTTCTTCTAAGTCAAGCATTTCTTTGTCACTTCTGAAAACTCTAATTCTCATAGCAAATAACCTTTATTTTGTGGAATCATTAAAAATAATGGCCACCATAGAGCACTCTTGCTTTGTATGTGGAGATAGAGTCAGAAGATGCACAAGCTCCCTGAGGACAGGGAACATGGCTGATTCCTTCTCCCAGAGTCTAGCACTGATCTCTGCCTGTTGTGAGAACTTCCTCTTGTACCTGTCGTGTGACATTGAGCAAGTCACTTAATCTTTCTGATCATCGCTTTCCTAATACTTCTCTGACAAGGTTGTTGGGAAGAAAGTCATTTCTAAACTGTGAAATACCTAAAATGCCATTTTTGATCATACTGCTTTAGTACTTCAAAATCCACAGGGTCACACCAGGATGATAGATAATCTCTCTTACCAGTGCAGTTCCTAAGCCCTCTACCCCTCAAATGGACCCAGCACATAGGGGTAATTACAAAACTACGAAATCGAACTTCCATGGAGAAAAGGAATCAATTATGAGGGTTAGCATAACTTGACCATGTAAACAGCTGTTTAAGAAAGCACTAAGCAACACGTGTAATCAGTCTACATGCACTGATGTCAGGGTGTCCATAAACTTAGGTGGGGAAACAATTAGCATGCCCTTCAGTTAGTAATTTAGGCAATGAAATATTCTTCAGAGAAGAGGGTCCATAGGCTTCACCAGACTTGCAAAGGAGTTCATGACCCATAAAAAATTAAAAGCACTGCCTTAATGGTATAGATTCATTCTCACATTTCAATCTGGTGTGCCTCTTGTCTGTATTCTGCCATAAAAAATTAACCCAGTGAGCTGGAAGCCTTCCTCCTGTAGGTCTTATACCATGACAGTGGCATCATTAACAGTTCTTGGGTTGTCCATCTCATATTTCTTGTTCTTGCTACATTACCAGGGCCAACTACTATCCTTTTGCAATGAATACTATGAATGTTTTAAATATTTTTTAACTCTTGAGGCCTTTGTACTATGCTTTATACTATGTACCCAGTAGCTTCTATAATCTTTTATTATCTCCCTAACTAATCAACTAACATGTAAAGTATCTATTATGTGCTAGGCACTGTGTTAACCACTGGGGATAGAAAGAAAGGCAAAAACTAGTCTCAACACTTAGGCTTGAAAAACTCACATTTTCTTTTCACAATTTCAAATACTATTTGAATGTATTTTGTGCGTGCTTAGATAATGTGATTTAATTTCAAAAGCTTTTACCTTCAAGTATTTCATAGTAATTAGATTTGATCTACGTAATATCATAATGATATTCAGGTGTTTCCTTCATGATATATTCAGGTAATTCTACAGCACTGTTCTTAGACATGTGTAAAATGTGCAAAACATTTAGTATGTGAATTGCTATGAAGGATACAAAGATGATAATATGTCTTCCCTTAGGAAGCTTCCAATCTAGTTTGGGAAATCAGACATAAAAATGTGAAAAGTTAAATAAAAACAGGATCTAAATAACTGTTCAAACTAGTAATAGAGGAGGATATCATAATGCAGCAGGGAATTCAAGGCACACTTTACCTTTACAAATTATTATTTGAACTAACCCTAATTCTCATACACAATTGTAAATAAAGTACTTGATAAAATAATATAAAGTACTTAACATCTGAGGAGAGAAAGCAGTGATTTAAATTTGTTACAGAAGTGAAATCCTCTTACAGGGAACTCCAGAGGGCATTCCAGTGTGTTATTGTTCATTTTGTTTTTACTTCAGTGGAATATGACTGCGATGTGTACATTGCTTTGAAATAACATTCCTGATCTTCAGTAGGCTGATCCCAGGCTTTCTTTGTCTGAGGTTGGTAGTGAAAAAGTCATTTCTAACATAGGGGAAGTGAGGTAATGTCTTGCATACCTTTATCTTCATCTCTTTCCATCACCATTCCTTTCTTTGTTTGTTTTCCTAGATCTTTGTGTATATGATAGTGTGTTGAGGTATGTAGTTTGGGGCATGGAGTGGTATGGAGTAGTATGAAGGGAGTTTGAAGATAACTGTGGAACCAAAAAAAATTAGGAAAAACTTGCTTCCCCTTTTCCTTGCCTCCAGGTTTACTTTCCATGGTGAATTCAAAAAGGAAGAGCATTCACTGGAACAACATATAACCAGTTTCGTAGGACCATAGAATTTAGTCCTTCACATAGATTATTATCCATAAGGACAAAGAAAGCAATTTTTGTATGGGATCATCCATTCCAAAAATCATTTCAACAAAACCCTGTTATGGAAATGCCTTCATTATATAGAAGCCTAATTCAGTTCACTGTATTTTGGTTTATCTTTTGTATTTTAACTTTTAACACCTGTTACTTGGTTCCTAGGACTGCTTCTATTCTGATCCCCACTCCAATAGCTTTAGAGTAGATGAATGCTAACTTTAATTATTTAATCATTGAGCAGCATATTTGAATGGTGGTAAGTTTCCCATCCAACACATTGATGTTGTTATGTCTGAGTACCAACATCTGAGATACAGAATCTTTGTAACTTCTCTTGCCTTGTAGACTAGTAGCAAGAAAAGAATACTTGGATTAACAGTATAGCTAAATGGATACTTCATGATGCAGGCAGAGGATTTCTATCTTTCCTTCAGAGTTGAACCTTATTAGGTTCCTCTATTCTGGATTCATCTTTGCAGATTTTAAATATTATAAATATTATTTTAAATATAATTTTCTTTGTAATTTGGGACATTTTACCTAATGGCTCTGTGCCACCTGTATTTCCACTGCTCTATTTCCTCTATTTTAGACTTACCTTTCACATTTGCAGTGGAGAAAATGCCCAGAAAAATAATTAGATAACACTTGATAAAATGCAAACTCTTCTCTCTTAGCTTATGATAAATGAGAAACTGTGGCAACGAATATGGATTTTCTTCCTAGTTAGAAACAGAACTTTAAGTTTTTGTTTACTTTCTGTTCTACTATTTCAGAAGATCTGCATCTTCTCAAAGCTTAGCTCAGCCTTTCCTTCCAGAAAGAACATTTCAGCAATCAGGGACGTTTCTTTTCTGTGCTACTTCAGTTAATCCTTAATCAAACATTGAGCACAACGACAGTTTGCACTAAATGTCATTAGACAATCCATAGCCTGTGTGGCAGTGGTCCTATGTGAAGTCTAGGACTCTTTTTTTTTTTTCCTGTAAAACTGAACTGGACCCAGTATCTGAGGGTGGAGATTTATAGCTTTAGTCACTAACCTTTGGTGGGGAAAGTTACAAAGTGTTTCAAATAAAACATTTAACTTTTTACAAGGTATTGAACAATAGACTTTAAATTGCTGGCATTTAGAAGAGAGAGTTTAAGAAAATGCCACCGCTTAATGAACTGTCTTAATTAAATGCTTTTGTTTTATGACAACATTTGACATAGATATGTAATGTTCTACGTAATGAATTTAAATTTAAAGCAGTATTTAATCCCTCATATCGTTACAGGTTACCAGGTTATGCCCAGCCAGCAACAGCAAAACTACCAAGGGATAGTTGCAGTTCAACCATCCCAAAATCAAAATCTAGTCAGTGGCCAACAAAACAATATTGGAAATCAAATTCAAGGTGTGATTGTCCCATACCCTTCGGTGCCATCTTATCAGGTATGTTACTTATCTTAATTAGTTATGCTTTTGGATAAGTAGATAAGTAAATTTAAATGCAAAAATAAAACCAAACAATATTTAAATACAGTTGCAACACTTGTAAAGTCAAAGCCAAGAGTCATTTTTCTGTCTTCTTTGGACAAAAGGAAGTCTTTTTAACTATAGGAGTCCTATGGTCTTTTTTTTTTTTTTTTTAAAGAACTACCAACGAAAATTGAGACAGAGAGTGAGTATATCACTAGTAGCATATAGTAGTATAATAAGACTTCCCTAACCTGGGCATCTCTAAATATAGCCTGACTTCACGTTAACTTTTTTGACTGCCATATAATACTGTGGATTCATATTGATCTTGTAGTGTACTAGAATTCTTACCTTTTTTTCAAATGAACTGTCTGGCCACACCTCCCTATCTTATACGCTTGAAGTTTTTTATTTGTTTGTTTATTTGTTTAGCAAAAGTATCACCGCAGCATGGTACTGTGGAAAGAGTACTAGATATGTTGTCAGAAGGTCTGGGTTCAATTCCTAGCTTTTCATCCTACTGTGGTACCTCTAAGTCACTGAACCTCTCTGGGTCTTAATTTTCTCATCTGTAAAGTGAAGGGATTAAAATAATAAATTCACTTAGAGGAACACAAGTTCTATAATATTAATGAAAATAATGGGAAAAAATTAAGAATAAAAGACAAATAGCACTTCCAAACGATTTGATACTGGTTAAAAAAAAAAAAGAAAAGTAGGTCATTGGAACAGACTTGACAAGGAAGAATCAGAAATAAGAGAATTTTAAAACCCGGTGTGTGATAAAGCCAAAAACATATTACCTAGGAAAGAACTTTCTATTTGATAAAAATTACTGGGATAACTAGAAAGAAATCTGGCAGAAATTGGATTTAGATCAACATTTTACACTATATATGACAATACACTCAAAATGGAATATGTGTCCTATGAAGCATGCTACTTACCTTCTGGCAGAGAGGTGATAAAGTCAGGATACAGGATGAGACACATATTTTTTGGACATGGCCAATGTGAGAATTTATTTTACTTGACAATGAAAGTCTAGTGATAGTATTTTCTATATTTTAGTAATAGAAATGGAAGGATATCATGAAATGAGGCTACTGTAGCAGTTCTTTAAAAAAAAAAAAGACTAACATTCCTATAGCTAAAAAGACTTTTCCCTTTATCCAATGAAGACAGAACAGTGACTCTTAGCTTTGACTTTACAAATGATGCTGCTCTATTTATAAATAATATTTGGCTTTACTTGACTATATGACAAGGTTTTGGTTTTTGTTTTCTCCAATGGGTGGGCAAGGTGGGGAGGAGAGAAAATGAATTTTTGACAATTGAATAAATTAATTTTTAAAAAAAAATTAAAGGTCATGTCATTTAAAAATTAGAAGAGAACCAGATCAGGTACCTTTCACAGTTGTGCCTAGGGGATGAATTCTTAACTGAGCAAGAGATAAGAGCAATTACAGAAGACAACCTAGATGATCTGGATTATATGAAACTGAAAAACTTTTGCATGAATAAAATCAGTACATTGAGTATAAAAAGGGAAGCATCTAAAGCAAAAAAAAAAACAAAAAACGCCCATGTATCATATATCTCTGATAAGGTTCTGATATCCAAAATAGATAGGCAACTATCAGAGCTATTCCCCAGCCAAAAGATGAATAAGCAGCTCTCCAAAAAATAGAATTACAGGTTATTAATGACTATAAAAGAGTGGACCAAGTCACTAATTTTAAGGGAAATATAAATCAAGACAATTGTGAGCAAAATTGAAGGAGATGATAAAGTATGGGAGTAATTAGTGTTGACGGGCTTGTAGAAAGACAGACATATGATAAGACTTGGTTAAACTGTGAATTAGTCCAACCATTTTGGAAAACAGTTTAAAATTATCCTAAGAAAAGGAGAGGTCTGTACTCTTTAACCTAGGGATTCTACTTCTAGGCATTTACTTCAAAGAGGTCAATGATAAAAAGAAAGGCAAATTATATACCAAAATATCTTCACTAATATCTTTCATAGTAGCAAGGAACTGGATGGATTGGGGAATGTCTGAACAAGCCATAGTATATGATGTAAAAGAATTTTCCTGCAGTATAAGAGACAATGAATATGTAGATTATATTCATCATAATATAATAAGCTAGGAATTGAACAAAGACGGCTTCTAAGAAGTTGTAATTCCTTAACTGTCTTAAAGGAAATTATGGAGTTGGTTCAGAATTGGGAATTTGGAAGGGCATTCCCAGCAAAAATAATAGCATAAGCAAATTACAGTTCTGATAATGAGCGGTTAGCAAGGGGACTATTTTGTCTCACAGGGACTATATTGAAACCCATCCAAAAGTTAATTGTAAAGAAATAGAATTTTTATTCTGTCCGTGAACCTTTTAAATATTCCAACATATTTTTCACCTGTAAGAAATATGTACTGTGTAATCACAGGAACATTAAAAAATTGGAATAAAGGAATGAAACAGATAAAGTCAGTGACCTTCATTAGGCGTTTGAGCACTGAGACTTGTAGTTCTTAAAAATAAAGCCAACAAAGGTTACTTTGAGGTATAAAGAACAAGTGTCCCTTGCCTCTTTCTATCCCACCTTCCCTACCTCCCTGCCTTTTTTTCTTTCCTTCCTTCCATTCTTTCTTCTTTTCCCTCACACAGCTACAGTCCCTATTGCTCTCCACCAATCATCTCCCAGTCTAGGTTTCGGCCAATGAATGCTCCTCAGTCTCCTTAACTTACCACCTAATCCAGGGAAGAGAAAAAAAAAAACCTCAGATGAGCAAATGGTAGCTCATAGAAACCACGCAGCTATGCCACTTTATGTTTTCGGCCACTAAATTTGACAGCAAATTTAGAAAATGGAACTTTGAGCTGAGAAGTTATTTTTTTTAATTGCCTTCCCCTAGTAGATTGTATTCCATTCTTCTTGAGCACAGTGAAATGCCTTTCTCAGTAGTTTGTTTTTCCTGTACTTTAAGCTACAAATTTATTTTAATCATGTGAATCATTTAGCTGTCTTTCATTTTGCTTAGATCATCTTTGCATAAATATTAAATCTGATGCAATCAAAAGTGCCACCTAAATATATTAAATTACTTTCGTTCTTGAAAGATTAGATTATGTTATATTATGTAGAACAGAAAATCAGCCCAATAATTTTGTTTTGGATAATTTATCTAGTGGTGATGTAATTAAGAAATTCCAGTGCAGTTGGGAAGGATTAGTTCTATTTCAGAAACATATCATATGAAAAAAGCTAGCTGACAAGGTTGAACTATTAAAATGATGAGACTTCTGAACATAAGATCAAGTTTAGAGAGGCCTTAATAACACTTGTTTCCATTTGCAAAAAATAAGAATCCAACCTCTTTTATTGCATATTGCCAAATAATCCACCACGGTCTATTAAATTTAGTAATTCCTTTTTGAGTGATTACTGTGTGCTAGGCATTGTACTCAGTGCTACAAGAAATTCAAACAAAAGTAAGGCACAGCCCCTGCACTCTAGGAATTTAGAAGCCAAAATTGTCTATTTTTTTGAGAGGTGTACTTTTTAATATGCCAATAAAGAAAAGGACCAGTGAGTAAGCAAGGCTAAAGAAATTTTACTTCATTTTTTCTGGAGAAAATTATGTCATTGTCCTGAAGTCCGAACTTGCCTAAATTAATAAACTTATTATTGGAAGGTAAGTGCAGCTCAAATCCATTTATTAAGAAATTTGGTGCATCCAAAGTTTTGTTAAAGAATTTTCTTAGTGCTAAACTTGAATCTAATAAAAAGAAAACAAAAGGTATGGGGCCTGCATTGTCATCTGGACCCTATTCTACCATCTTAAGTTGTATGTTTATTGTGTTGCTCCTGGGTATTTTTCGTATTGTTTTGTGTTTGGTTGGGTGATTTAGGAGTTTAGATGAGTCTTTTTATTGTTGTAGTTCATTTAAATTTTTAAGGAAAAGAAGAACCAAATGAGTTGAAGGATAAATTCCTTGGTGGTGATATAATGAAAGAATCTAGGTGACCCATGGTGCTGCTGCATATCTTCTCAGACATTTGGAAGTGGAAAGTAACAGAGCACGGCTTGTAAGAGGAAATTGTTTTCTTTCTTTCTTTTTCTAAAGTAAGAACTTCTTCTTTCCCCCACTAACTTTAGGTTTCACTGCCTCAAGGTTCCCAAGGAATGCCTCAGCAGACTTATCAGCAGCCTGTTATAATACCTAACCAATCTAATCAAGGACCTATGCCCACCACAGGAATGCCAGTTTACTATAGTGTCATCCCACCTGGTCAACAAAACAATTTAAGGTGAATAACTGAACTAAGTTCTTTTAGTTTCCTATGCATTGCCTTATCAGTATCAGCTGGATCTCTAATCTTATCAGTGTCCACTAATTTCAAGGTCAGTTTACTATTAGCACTTTCTCCCTTTTGTTCATTCTGTTTACATAGAATTAGAAAAATAATATATGCCAACAATTGCTCTGAAAGCAGATTGTATTGTCATCATCAAATTTTGTTGTATGGAAAAAGAGAAGGCTTCTTTGGCAAGCCTACTATATTAAAAATAGCAATTATACATTAGATCAGGAACTGTTCTTCCAAGGAATTGAAAACACATTACATGTTGTTTCATTTACTCCCATGACATTCCTATGAGTTTGCCAGAGGGGCAGCTGGCATTTTGTTCATTTATTTTACAGCTTGGGGAACTAAGACGTGATAGGTGATAAGAGTTGCTGTCGGGTCATAATGATTACAAATGGTTTATTTGTCTCCAGTGTGGTAGTAGAACCAGGATTGACATGCCTCTCTATTAGAATCTGTGTTAGAAATTGTTGTTTCAACATTGAAGGAATTCATCATCATTTCAACTGTTGTCAAAACTCCCTAGTGATACTCATAATGTTTTCTTTTATTTCTGACTTTACAGCAGCCTTAAGATTGGCATATGAATACAGAAAGCCAAACTAAAATTAAGGACAAGTTCTGGTTCTAATGATAATAATTCTTAAGTTTTACACTGTAGCGAAGCCTAACTCTTTTAAGCTATAAGCTATAACTCTTTAAGCTATGCCTACTACACAAAGAAAGTAGAACAGTACATCCATTTTTAAATTCTTATTTTCATTTAGATATCTTTTGTTTTTACATCATTCTATTTCCAAATTCATCCCTAGTGCAAGAGCCATCCCTTAAAACAAAGAATAATTTTTTTTAAAGGAAGCATTTTTTAAGGGCCTGCTATGAGCCAGGAACTCTGCTAAGTGCTTTATAAATATTATCTCATTTGATCCTCTTAACAAATATGGGAAATAGGTGCTATTACTATGCCCACTTTACAGTTGAGGAAACTAAGGCAGAGGTTAAGTGATCTACCCAGAGTCGCACAGCTAGTATGTATTCAAGGCTAGATTTTAACTTAGGTCATCCTGACCCCAGGCCCAGCAGTCTGTCCAGTGAGCCACCCAACTGCCTCTTAAAAAGGAATGGGGGGGAAATTAATTTAGCCAAACTAACAAATACAGCAACCAAATGTAGTATTATGAGCAATGTTTCACACCTAAAGTCTCCACTTCTGCAGAGATGGAGGGGAAGTACATTTTTTTTATCTCCTTCAGTGCCAGTTTTGGCTGTTATAATTATACAGTGTTCAGTTTGGGTTATTTTGTTGTTCTTTCCATTTCCATTGTTGTCGTTGTAAATATTGTTTCCTATTTCTGCTTACTTCACTTTGCATCAGTTCCTATATCTTCTTGTTTCTCTGAGCTATTTATATTCATAACTCCTTATCACACAGGAATATTCCTTTCCATTCATGTGCCACAATTGTTTAGCTACTCCCCAGTCACTGCTTCTGTATTCTTAAAATTCTACTAGTAGGGAGAAGATAATTTACACTTTGGACCATTCTGTCTTACTTGTATTAGTCCAGCATCTACAGTATCCCTGCTAAGTCTTCTAAATCATACGGGTTATAAAAGATTACACACCTACTGTGGAGGCAGATTGTAACCTGAAAGGAATAAAGGTGTAATGGAAAATGAATCATGAGCCAAAATAGAATTACTCTGTCCAGGTGAAGCTGAAGGGACAGCTGGAGCTGCCCAGGGTTTAGATGTGCAACTTGAATGTAGCTTTTGGGTGACACATCTGTAATTAGCTGTTTGTGTCTAACCATAGACTGCTAATTGCTAACTTTCTGATTCATTGGCATAGGTCTGTTTTATGAACACACTATAACAATACAAAAAGTGAAAAATGTATTTAAGAGCAAAAAGAAAACAAAAGAATGCGTGTGCTATCAGGACTTAGCAAGAACAACTCAGGTTACTCATTTAACGTGAAGGCATGCCAGTTACAGAATTAACAAAAGCATTGACTGCGTGAAGAAATATTTGTAATTTACTAACGACATCACAGAATATAATAGCCTTTTATACAGAAAGTTATTTTGGTTGCACTTATTGTTTAGCAGACAAATGTCCATATTACTAAACACTACTGTTAATTGAGAAATATCTAGCACATTATTGTTGTTCTGTCCTGTGCAACTCTTAATGGCCCCATTTGGGGTTTCCTTGGCAAAGATACTGGATTGGTTTGCCATTTCCTTCTCTAGCTCATTTTACAGATGAGGGAACTGAGGCAAACAGGGTTAAATGACTTGCCCATGGTCACACAGCTAGTAAGTGCCTGAGGCCTGATTTGAACTTAGGTCTTCCTAAATCCAGGCCCAGCACTTTATCCACTACCTGTCTCCAAGCTGCTGTGTCTGCCCCTCAGCTGTTTATAATTAACCATAGAAGTTAACTGATATTCAGATGTTAATATGGCTTATTTCCTTCTTTTATAAATGTAGGTTATATTCAGTAGTTTAAGTTATATAGTACATTACATAGATTTCTGAGAAAAATATTTATCACCGTTTGAAGAAACCCTAAGAGTTCTTTTACTCATTCCCATACCTGACCAGTTCAGTCTACAAACATAGTTAGTAGTCATCTTATGTTTGCTTGAAGAATTATAGTGCAAAGGAATACACGCCCACCATCGAAGGAAACCTATTCTTTTTTTAACTAGCACTTATTATTGGGAAATTTTTCCTTACATCAGGTTTAATTTTGCCTCTCTACAACCTGCACCCATTAAAATGTTCCTAAAATGAGAAAGGCATGTGGGTCACTCAGTGGCTGACTAATCCAGGTACTTTATTGTGATAGAAGCAACCTGGGGTCTTTTCTGTCATCATGGAATATTTTCTTCTTGAGATGTCTTGAAATCCCCGCGCGTCCTTAAAATTGTGTGGATTCAGCACAGATTTCTTTTGTATATATTTGGTCCAGCTTAGCTGCTCTTGTCTTCATCTTAAGTGTCACAGAGCATCTCTAGTACTTAATGTGGTAGCCTCCAAATGACGTGCTTCCACTATGGGCTGCAATGGAAATAGATCACTACAAAGAACATCACCAACTATCCTTTTTTCCTTTTTCATCTGTTTCTTATTTTCCTTTCAGTTTCAAGTTCTCATAGAAGGTTCTCATTTTTACAGATTTCATTTTCTCCTCAGGTGGTTTTTTGTTGTTTTTGTTAGTCCTTAAACCCATACTCTGATTTTGTTTTCTGTCATTCTCCTCCTGTAGAGGGTCTGGGTCCAGCACAGCATACAAATCTAGATTTCCATTTCCTATATTTCCTTTCTTTTTTCAAGCACCACTTTCTACACAAAGCCTTCCTGACTCCCACAACTGCTAGTGTCCTCTTTCCCATATGCCTTGTATTCAACTACCTTTATTTTACATTTATTATATATACACTAATATATGTCATTGTCCTTTTCCCACCTTGAAATGTAAGCTGTTTATAAGTAGAGATTGTTTCATTCTTTGAATTTGTTCCCCTTACTTATTGATTGAAGACTTTCAAAGATATATCCAGGAAGTTTAATTATATAATGTGACCTCATAGGAATGAGGAATCCTTTGGTTCACAGCCCTGTTACACCTCCCAGAGGCCACACAGACCTCTTATGCAGTCATTGTTTCTACCACCATTTTGTGTGCTAACTCCCCTTTATTGCTTAATAGTAATTGCATATCATTATTCATTATTACCTTTTTCCTCCTTCTAGTAAGGTGTGATCAACAGGTCAGGTCTAATAAACCAGCATTTATAAGCATTTGTGTGCAAGGCACAGTACTAAATGCTAAGGATACAAACAAAGGCAAAAACAGTCCCTGCCCTCCAGGAGTTTATATTCTTATGGAGGGAGACAATGTGTAAATAACTATATAGATAGAAGGTAGGTGAGAGACAATCTCACAGGGGAATCACTAGCATTAGGGAGAGCTCTAAAAAGCCTCTTGCAAAAGGTGGGATCTCATCTGAGCTAGGAAAGCCAGGTACATTGTAGAGACAAGGAGGACAGTTGGTGGAAAGGTGCAGATTCAAAAGATGGAGTGTCAGAACAGCAATCCAGCAGTACAGAGGGCACACAGAACCACAAGATGGCTATAGTGGCCTTGTATGATATAGCACGTGGAGGGGAAAAAAGTATAAGGAGGCTAGAAAGGTAGGAGGATCGAGGTTGTGAAGGGCTTCAAAAGCCAAAGGGACAATTTTGTATTTGTTCCTGGAAGCCACAAGGAGTCACTCAAGTTCCAATAAGGGAGGGCCATGGTTAGACATACATCATTTTGGAATCTGAGGAGAGAATGGTCTGCAAGAGGCAGATGCTAGAGACCAGCCAGAAGGCTACTGCAATAGTCCAGACATGAGGACATTAGGGCCTACCCCGGAGTGGTGCTGGTGAGTGGAGAAAAGAGAGACATTGTGAAAGTATAATCTACAGACCTTGGCAACAAATTAACTAGGACATTTGCAAGCCTGATTGACAGGGAATATGTTGGTCCCCTCAGCAGTAACTGGGAGATTTGGAAGATGGGATGGTTTGGGGGAAAGAAAATAAATACAGTTTTGGACATGTTGAAGTGTCTGTTAGTTTCCAGTTAACCAGTCTTGAGCCTTAGAATGTTTCCATATCCCTTGTCAAAATTAGATTAGGGAAATAATGAAAAACATAGCTCTCATCGTTTCCATTCAATCAATCACTAGCCCTTCTGTGAGACTTTGTGTCTTTGGACTTGAACTAGTTCTTACTCTGATCTTGATCATCCTATCCTTTAATCCCAAGGATGCTATAACAGTTTTGTATGGTGTTGATGCAGCTAGGTGGCACAGTGGATACAGTGCCTTGCCTGGAGTCAAGGAGACTCATCTTCCCAAGTTCAAATTCAACCTCAGACACT